ATAAAATATTGATGATAACAGTAATTACTAAAGCAAGGATACTTTTTTATTATTATTGTTAATCTCATTATCATTATCATCATCATCATCATTATTATCAACATCACTGTTATTATTACTTAGTATGTTTATTATTATTATCATTATTGTATTATTATTATTATTGTTGTTGTTGCTGTTGTGTTGATTATTATTATCATTATTATCAATATCATTGTTATTATTATTTCTATTATATTAATTATATATTATTATTATCATTATTATCATTATAATAATAATAATGATTGATAATAATAAATAATAATAATAATAATAATAATGATAATAATAATAATAATTATTATTATTATCATCATCCTTATTATTATTATTATTATTTTATGATTATTATTACTATTATTATTATGTTGTTGTTGTAATTATTATTAATATAATTATAATCAATGTTATTATTATTATCATCATCATCACTACTACTATTGTTATTATCATTATTATTATTATTATTATTATTATTGTTATTATCATTTTTATTATTATTATTATTATCATCATTATCATTATTACTATTATTATTATTATTATTATTATTATTATTATTATTATTATTATTATCATCATCATCATCATCATCATCATCATCATCATCAGTACTACTATTGTTATTATCTATAATTATTATTATTCATTATTATCATTATTATTATTATTATTATCATTATTATTATTATTATCATTATTTATTATATTATTATTATTATATTATTATTATTATTATTATTATTATTATTATTATTATTATTACCATCATCACCACCATTATTGTATTATTATTATCATTATCATTGTTATTATTATCATTGTTATCACTATTACTATTATCATCATTACTATTATCATTATTATCGTCAACATTAATATTAATAATATTATTATCAATATTATTATTATTATCATTATTGTTATTTTTATATATTATCATTATTATCATTATTATTATTATTATTATTATTATATCTTATTATTATTTGTCAGTATTATTATTATTTTATTATTATATTAAAATTTCATTATCATCATCATCATTATTATCCTTATCATTATTATTGTTATTATCATTATCATTCTTCTTATTATTACTACTACTGCTACTACTACTACTATCATTATCATTATCAGTTTCATCATCATCACCATCATCATCGTCGTCATTATTATTATTATGATTATTATTATTATTATTACTATTATTACTACTACTACTACTGCTACTACTACTACTATCATTAATGTTATTGTTATCATTATCGGCATTATTTTTTTATATATTATTATCATTATTATTATTATCATCATTATCATTAAGGTATAATGATAGTAATAACAACAATGATAATAATAATTACTATCATTAAGGTTATAATGATAGTAATAACATCATTATCATAATCATTATGATGATAATAGTACTATGATAATGATAATAAAAATAATGATAATAATAATAATAATAATAATAATAATAATAATAATAATAATAATAATAATAATAATAATAATAATAATAATAATAATAATAATAATAATTAATAATAATAATAATGATAATAATAATTTAGCAATAATGATGATGAAGATAATGATAACAATAATAATAATGATTATAATGATGATGATGACGATAATGATAAAGATAATAATAACACTGATATAGTAATAAATATAAGAATAATGAAAATAACAATAATAATCATAACAATCAGTAGTAACATCAGTATGGTTCTTCTTATTATTATTATCATTATCATTATTATTTTTTGTTATCATTATTGTTATTGTTATTGTTAACATTATTATTGTTGTTGTTGTTATTATTACTGTTGTATTGTTAATTATTATTACGTATTTTTTATTATTATTATTATTATTATTGTTATTATTATTATATTATATTATTATTATTATTATTATCATCATTATTATTATTATTATTATTAATTATTATTATTATATTATTCCTATCATTATTATTATTGTTATCATTATTATTATTATTCATCATTATATTATCATTATGGCCATAACTGTTATCATTATTGTTATTATTAATACCATTAGTATTAATAACATTAGTATTCTTTCTTCTTCTTCTTATCATTATTATTATCATTATTGCCATTATATTATTATTGTTTTATTATTATTATCATCATCATTATTATTATTATTATTATTATCATTATTATTATTATTATTATTATTATTATCATCATCATCATCATCATCATCATCATCATCATCATCATCATCATCATCATGAGCATTATCATTATTATTATCATTATCATTATTATTTTCTTCTTCTTCTTCTTCTTCTTATTATTATTATTATTATTATTACTACTACTACTATTATTATCATTATTAGTATTATTGTATATTATCATCATCATTATTATAATTATTATTACTGTTTTATTATGATAATTTTCATTATAATAATAATAATTAATTTTATTATTATTATTATTAGTGCCATTACTATTATTTTCATTGTCATTATTATCTCTATCATTATTATCATAGTGATAATAACAATCAATAATGATAATGATAATAAAATTGACGATATGATAATCATAGAAAATATAATAAAAGTAATCATAATTAAAATAGTAATAAAATTAGAAAAAAAGGATAATGATGATAATAACACTAACAGTAATAATGATAATAATGATGATAATAATAATGATTGATAATAATATTAATGATAATGATAATATGAATAACAATAATATTAATATTAATAGTAATGATGATTAATATAATGATTGATAATAATATTAATGATAATGATGATAATAGTACTAGTAATAATGATAATGATGATGAAAATAATGATGATACTAATAATAATCATATTAATGGTGATAATGATAATGATTGTGATAAAAATGATTGTCATTTTTACTATGATAGCAATGATAATGATATTACTAATTATACTCCTAACAATAATGATAATAATGATAACGATAATGAGAATTATACAAGAAAAACAACAACTACTAGTACTATTAATGATAATAATAAGAATGATAATTATTATAAAAAATAATAAAGATGATAATGATAGTAATGATAATAATGAGAGAGAAGTAATATAAAAAAACATTATTATCATAACCATTGTTATTATTATCATTATTACTATCATTATTATTATTATTGTTGTTATTATTTTTTTTATTATCATTATCATCATTGTAATCATTATTACTGAAGCGTTCCAAAACAGACTCTCTCTCTCTCTCTCTCTCTCTCTCTCTCTCTCTCTCTCTCTCTCTCTCTCTCTCTCTCTCTCTCTCTCTCTCTCTCTCTCTCTCTCTCTCTCTCTCTTTCTCTCTCTATGTCTAAAGCATAAATCAAATGGTATAGTTGAAAGGAGAGGGAGAAGAAAAGAAGGAAAGGGGAAGAAAGAGAGAGAGAGAGAGAGAGAGGAGAGAGAGAGAGAGAGAGAGAGAGAGAGAGAGAGAGAGAGAGAGAGAGAGAGAGAGAGAGAGAGAGAGAGAGAGAGAGAGAGAGAGAGAGATAATAAATAGATAGATAGACAGACAGATAGATAGATAGATAGATAGATAGATAGATAGATAGATAGATAGATAGATAGAGAAGAGAGAGAAGAGAGAGAGAGAGAGAGAGAGAGAGACAGACAGACAGACAGAGAGAGAAAGAAAAAAAGAGGGAACTAACTCTACGGAACTCTGCTTTCGTATTTGGAAAAAGTGAACCCAACATCTTGACTGCAAATCACTCCACAACATACTCCACGTATATGTGGACCCCGAAAGAATAAAATCTCCACCACATGTCAAAAAGTAGACACAAACAAACAGACACACACAGAAATGCGAATATGTAAACACGAACACGAAGACAAACCACACATTAGCTCTCTCTCTCTCTCTCTCTCTGTCTCACCCTCCCTCGTCCCCCTTCTCTCTCTCTCGCTTTATCTCTCTCTCCCTCCCCCCTTCTCTCCTCTCTCTCGCTTTATCTCTCTCCCTCCCTCTTCCCGCTTCTCTCTCTCAGTCTCTATCTCTCTCCCTCCCTCGTCCCCCTTCTCTCTCTCTCGCTTTATCTCTCTCCCTCCCTCTCCCGCTTCTCTCTCTCTCCCTCCCTCTCCCCCTTCTCTCTATCTCTTTATCTCTCTCCCTCCCTCGTCCCCCTTCTCTCACTCTTTATTTCTCTCCCCCCTCTCTCTCTCTCTCTCTCCTTTCCTCGTCCCCCTTCTCTCTCTCTCTTTATCTCTCTCCTCCCTCTCCCGTCTATCCTCTTCTCTCTCCCTCCCTCTTCCCCTTCTCTCTCTATCTCTCTCCCTTCTCTCCCTCTTAATCCTCTCTCCCTCCCTCTTCCCCTTCTCTCTCTTTATCTCTC